TAAATATAAGTATGACAGTATTAGCATAGTTTCAAAAGTGTACTTATAGCTATATGTTATCAGTAATCTGATTATGTCAATATTTTTTATGTTTTGACAAGTAAAACTTAGAATAAATTAAGATGGGTATAATTCTATTATAGAAAAAGAAGTTGACAACTTGTAAAGTGTGACAATGTAATATGCTTTGAGGAATCAAAATAAAAGGAAAAGGAATAGGGAATCAAGAAGTCATTATTATCACACATAAAAAGTTGCTTATAACATCCAAAATAGAAAAGCTCTTGGCCATATAAAAAAAATATGTCACATGAGTACCAACCAAGTTGTTACATATTTGTGGTTATTTCTACATGTAAAATTAAACAAGTTGCTTGTGAATAATATAATAACTTCATAAATATGACATGACTTCCAAAAAATTTCTCAAAATTGCAAATATTTTGAAGTGCCCTTACTTGAAAGACAAATAATTGGACTACAAGTAGCTTTCACAAACATTCTATAATGTTATAATAGTTTAAGTTCAGCATCAATATGTGAAATTTAATCGTACTTACGTAATATGTTGTGACAGTGCCAGCAGAGTTTCCAGCAACGAGTTTGATTTGCATATCAATTCTTCCAAAGAGATGTTCTTTTTTTGATTGAAAACCAGAGCCAGAAACTTTGTCTAAAGATAAAGATAAAAGTTGACCTCCATTGAAAATCTTGGCTCTATTGCCACCCCAAGTGAAGTCAAATTCTTGATAAAAATTTCCACCATAAGTAACCATGCAAGAACTAAATAAAAGTGCTAACATCAAGAACCCATAATGGGTAAAAGACCCCATTTGTAGTTAAAATTTTTTACTTGAACTTTGAATAATATATGATTTTTTGCTTGTGTGTGAAATGAGATTTAAAGGGAGCAAGTATTTATAGTGAGTAGAAGGAGCTTATAGCTATAAAGAAAAGAGCAAAAATCTTGTGAACTTCTTGAGTTTTTGGGTGGGTGGGTGGGGGTTTTGGAGGGGGGGGGGGGGATGCATGGGCAACAACTGGTGCCAGCTTAGCATACATAAGAGCTGGAGCCTTTTTTGTTTTGGTATTGGATGCTTTAGAATTTTTTGGTGTTTGTTAGGAATAATAAAAAATAGAGTCAGTTAAAGACGTGATTTAGTGGTCAATGAAATAAATAAAATTACGATATAAATTGCAATAGTTCAATTTGTTATAGTCTTAATGGATAAAGTTACTCAATATTTCTGCTATTGTTAGGTAGAAGCTAGGGACGCAGGGGGTTTATTTGAATTGAAAAATTACATTTTATCAATAAGATCAAAATTATTCGTAACCGTATCTCCTTTACTTCTTAATCTGCTTATTATATATATATAATTTGAATTTCTTAATGAGAACATGTCGAGCAACAAAAAAAAATACATATTTAAATAAAATAATCAAGATGCACGTAAATTATCTGAAATGTTATTATTGAAAGAAGTGTGGGGGTGGGGGTTTGAAGAAGTAGAGATAAAGTTTGCAAGAATGATTCAAGAATTTGGTATGGCCTATACACTCTTTTGCTCTATTATATGATTGGAGTAGTAAGTGGAAGCCAACCAGATCAATTATATTGTACTGACAAAAGTATAATAACTCAAAGGGCAGGATAAGTAGATGAGAAGTACTAGTATTTATTTTATTAAATGGTACCCTTTATTGTTAACACTTGGTTTAATTTGTTAGCAAGTTTCTTATGACCTTGTTGTTGTTGATAAGACCAACAACTTTTACTACTGGCAACATCCTGTCATTTTACCCATTTGCTACTTGTTAGCAAAAAGGACAATGAATGAAAAGTAATTGAATTTTTTTCAAAGATAAATAAGATAAAGATTTACTTAATCGGAAACAAACTCTCTATATTACGTATGTTATCATAGAGAAGATTACTTATATAAAAAAAAGAAAAACAATTGGCTATTGATGAACAACTTACATTAACAATAATTCATCACTAATCATGTTTAATAATAGATTATTAGTTACAGATTATTTAGCGGCAAGACTTACTTCCTAGTCAGTGAGAGTAGTGACTAGCATTATAGGTCGTTGGGTGGTCGAAAGGCTGCCACGAGTAAGTAAATTTAGGGACCGAAGATGATTCTCCGTGCATCGGACACATAGCTTACCGAATCAGTTGCGATACGAATGTAATGTTAAAAGATCAATGTTGTTAAAAAGAAGTTAGCAACATATAGCTTATGTCGGTATGTCTAATTATGTTTAACAATAGATTATTAAAATAATAACACACTATTTAGCGATAAATTCTTCCGTCATACATATAAGTCAATAGTTCTTTTTCATTATCAAGATTAGGTTACTAATGCTATGATATGATAGGAACGAAACTCATACTTCTAACTCTTCCCCTGGAACGTCTTCTTTAAGAGCGAATCAAAAAAAGAAAATTGTTCTTATCCATACCTAATACATGAAATATACAATATTTTTACTTTAATTAACTCGTGAATAAATCAAAATTCTTTTATTTTTATAATTGTTCTGAAAATAAGGAGAAGCTCTTTGTCATTGTCTTGTTTGTACTTTGTACAACACTATAATTATATATCTAAATCTATATGATACATTAATTCTCCATAAACCTAATTCAACAACTGTTCAAACAATCCAAAAATCTAACTAGGAAATAAGGGGACCTTGTTTGTAACTTTTTTGACCATTGAAAACACATTTAAGTGGACAAAAAGTTAGTTCTCTATCTATATTATACAGCCTGTACTGATTTAATTTGTTCATGAATCATTAATTATTAACAGTTGTGGTGTATTTAGTTTAGACTAATTAATGTAATTAATTTAAACTTTTTGGAGGATCCATACAAAATCACTAGTAAAAATTATGAAAATTTGTCTAGTCATACATATAAATCTATTACATAACTAGATACGACATGTTTGACACATATAAGTTGAATAAGAAGTGATGTTCTTAGTGACAAGTACGTAAGTAAGTCGCTTTCTCTCATTCTACTAGTTCAATTCTCATCACGAATTTGTACAATGTAAAAAGTATAGATAATTCTATTATTAATAAGGGACGATAATTGATTTATCACTAAATATTCGAAGGAACGAAAAGAGCAGATGCGAGATGCGAGGAAAATATTAAAAATTGACATGTTGCCTTATATTGCATAATGCACAACACCCTCTTCGTACCTCATTTTTCATTTCACATAACTTTTTATCTTCTGAATAGCTGAATTAAAAAAAAAAGTTATCGAAGGATCATATTTATAAGATTATATCAGATATATCGTAATCATATCTATTTTAAATTTGAGTTATATTTTCACCAAATTATCATTTCATCTTTTCCTTTGGACCATCTCACTCCCAAAAAAAAAGTAGAAGAAAAATTAAGAATCGAACGTTATTCTTGGACCACAAAGTTTTGAAATTCTCTTCAATGAGATAGATAATTTATTTAGGTCATTACTACATATCATTAAAGCCTTTTTTGGTTCGATTCATTGATGGCAAAATAAAATATTACATTGAGTCATAACTGATAAAAATTTTGAACTCACCACTTTAACGATAAAAGATAACAATCTCCCATAATATGAGCTAGTCTTTAATTTAAAATTACAATTTTTTCTCAATATAACGAAAAAACAAAACAAAAATCGTTAATTTTGTAAATTGAATGACTCTTTGAGCAATGAACTCTAACTCGTTAATATTTGACTTATTATCCTCTTCATACAACAACAATACAATGAATATAGCAAGCAAGAATATCAATATCAATAATGTCATAAAATTCCAGAATTTTTTTTCTCATCTAGCTAGCTATTTACTAGCTGTCATGAAACTGACATTCCACAAAAAAATTTTAAAGAAAAAAAAAACTTGAAGAGTGAAAGCAAAGTGTTTATCCCATCACTTTTTTTTTTGGTTTGTTCCAATTATTATTACTTGTTACATTTCGTGAACCTTCCTTTATTAACACATACGCAAAAATAAAATAAAAATGTAGTCAAGCATGGGTCATAATACCTTGGTTTATAAATTAATTTTATCACAAATGGATAAATTTTTGAAAGATTTTTATTTCTAGAACAAAGAAAATAAGAAAACTAAATATTATTTCAGGATATTTCAAAGCCCAAATAAATTATATTTGTAAATTTTCTTCAAATAGTTTTTAAGCGAGTCGTTTGTATTTATATATAGAACTTAAAAGATGGTTTTTTTTTTTTAATAAAAACACATTTTCCTCGTAGAGAATACATCCCTTACTAAAGTTAGACAAATTTAACCATTTAATAAAATATGAAAGTAACCAAAAAGAGAGAGATATCATTATGAAAAAAATGATTTTTTTTTAATTCAAAAATATTATAGGTTATATTTCACTAAAGAACTTTAAAAAATTTGTTTTAGAGATAATAAAAGGACAAAAAAAGTACAATAAATTAAAAACGAGGCTATAAGAAATTCAATTAAAAGAAAAGTGGGCCATAAAAGTATATTAAGTGGGTAAGTGCGGCCCATAAAATCAAACGAATCAAGCCCAGCGCCGTCAAACCATGGCCCACTACATTTAGTATTATTTATTTTTTTAGAAAAATTAATTAACCCAAAATTTACTTTCATATTAAAATTCTTAATGGCAGCTGTAGAGCATTGGCAAGCCATAATGGGATATAATGTCTTACTATAGAGTATATAATATAGTCATTATAAATAGATAGAATAAATGATAAAAAGAAAAAATTATTATATATTCTAAAAGACAAACAAAATCAAAAGAAAAAAATATAAGGTTATCACCATACAATAGTAACCTATTTATGGAATGTTCAATCGTCATTTTATGTATTTGGTAGAAATAACAAATCCATATGAAAGAATGTGAGAAAAAACACTTTATTCTATTCAGTAGAATTCATATTGCAGGTAAAGTCAAGAGGTTCGTCACGATACAATAGTAAGCATTTAGAGGTTCGTCTTTGTATTTCACGCAAGGACATTCAAGAAATAAGTTTTGTAGGCCAATCTAGCTTTAAGAAGCCTATTGCATACATAATTATTTGTCTACAATTATCAAACACTACTAGCTCCAGTTTCATTACTAACATTAGTCAAAGTCTACAAAATACACATAGGAATTAAGATATCAAAAGTGATGATGATAAGTTTCAACTAACATCTGGCCTTATGGTGTACATATTTGTTACTTCTGAGAGGGATCTGCTGAAACATCGAAACCCGGAGGAACAAATACAACATCGTCCCACTGTGATGTCGAAGAATCCTGCAAAAATATGTTCATACTTTGTCAACAGCACAGACTACAGAGTTTTGAATCGTGAGCTAGCAGGCCGTCGAGGATTTCTTGGTTGTTTAAAGATATAGAATTATTATACATATATAAGAGGTTAACAATGTGTAAAGAGGATGATAGAACTTGGTTGAGGATTCTTACCTTCATACCTTGTATTATATCCTCCAGAACGCCAACCTTGTCAAATCAGATGAAAATTCTCGGTGATGAAGCTAAGACACGAACAATAAATAAACAGTAAAAAACAACAGATGTACCTGAATATCTCCTTTCAAAGCGGGATTCAATCGCCCTTGCTGCTGAGAAGCTCTTACTAGTGAACTCTCTAGGTCCTCCTGCATAAGTTGACGAAATTTCAAGAAGGGAGATATAGCATTGTATCACACTAGTGGATAGTGGATACTAACTCAAGACAATTAGCTTACCTTCCTGAAGAAAACAGGCCGATATCTCTTGTTTTGGCTTCTTAGAATTAAGCTCCTCGACTGTAAATAAATATCAATCAGATGTATAGTTGTCATTTTCAGTTTATGAGGTCGAAAAGTACAAAGGAACTTTATGTGGCATGAAATTGTCAGCCCACAATTCATTTAATCTTTGAATCTAACTATGCAAAATCTGTTGTCAAGTTATCTGAATGTGATATTCAATATGTTGGCATGCAACTTATTTCTTTTCTTTTTTTTTAAAGGTGGTGTCTGCAGCAAGTTGCATGCACCTCGACAAGTCCACTTGATCCTACCAGTACAAGTATCGGATTACTCTACCCGCCAAAACATAGATAAATGGGAAGAAATCACCTAAACTTTTTTGCCTTTGCTAGGATTGAATACATGATCTTCCATAGTCTTCATTCCAACTTCAACGAGCAATAGGACATACTTCTTAGTACATTTTGGCATGGTTCCAAATTAATCCAACACAGAAACAACTTTTCAACTAATATTTGACACCATATTTTTTAACTGATTAGATTTAAGCAAACTGTTAAAATGTTAAAAAACATGGTGTAAAATCTAAGGATAGCATCATCCAAGAAGGTGAAAAAGAGCAATGCTAAGTTGTTTGAAATGCCTGGACAGCATTTGGGTGGATTAATTCTTCTTTTCACGTAAATCACCTTGGGAATTTATACAACACAGATTTAAAACAGATTGGGCCTTGTCCAGGCTCGAAGGCACCGGATGTTTCCCTGATTAATCTATCAATTCTTTTGGCTACAAGTAAAAGTGAAGGCAATCCAGCTGCAGATCTGCTAAGTGTATCAATTGATCGTCAAGTATTGTGTCTATGGAGTCCTCTTCCTCATCAATAGACCAATGTCATCAAAGGCAAAAAGCGCAAAAAAGCATCTAAGATCAGTTGGGCTTCAAGTGCAAAGTAAAATTGAAGAAAAAGGGTTGTGATAAAGTGAAATATAAATGGTTAAACCTTTTCAGGATTACGCTCTATGGTAAGGAAAAGTATGCCTTAAGAGACTTGATGGCGACACTGAAGCACCTGCTAAGCAAGGTGAAACACTCGATGCATTTTGCACCTCGATTTTGGCCTTAAGCGTGCCTTTGACAACACTGCAACTGACGTAGTCATCCTAGTTCAGATCATATTTCATTTAAAGCAGATGAAGCAAGCAAATCAGATACTTCCCCTCACACAGGAGGACATAGAAGTAAGTACAATTGTTAAGGCAGATGAGCATTTCAGTGAATCTATACATATCAATTATAGCTGAGAACATACCTGAAAAACTGGAACACCATAAAAGCTCTCATCAGTCGTTCCAGTCCTTTCCCTTTCCTAGTTAAAAAAGGCAGTAGAATACGATCAGCTTTAAATCATAGAAGTTAAAACTAATGGTGCACAAAATGATATTTTAAACATGCTGATTAAAATTTCTATGCACAAAACCATTTTTGGCATTATCCTCACAGCAATATCACTTAAAAAATGAGGTCTCCTACCATTTGACGGACAGATTATATGTCATGATACTATGTTTTAGTCCACAACTGGTATATACCTAATCTTTGTTAGGTATAAAGAAGCTTACTGAGCAACAACTACCTTTTCATCCACTTAAATCCAAAAGCAATGTCTGTCTATTACAAATTTATCCCGAAGAAGGAGAACATTTTAATTAGTGCCACAAACTTTTGGATTTAGTGTCAAGCAAAAAGTCCATCAGACAAGTTTCTAATACTTATTGTACATAAAGTACATTTCAGAACTTAGATAGTCGAAAACTTTGGTTTACTTTGCAATAATTATGAACCCCGAAGCCATGATAGTAACGGAGAGCCCCAAAGCAAATACCCTTTTTTTTATTAAGAACAGAAGAAACTGATTGACGTAACAACAACACTTCTCTAAGGTAGAGTAGCAAACCAGTATCAAATACTCGAGACACCACTATGACGGCAAGAGTACTCATCAACTTTCTTATAGATTTAATAACACGCTTAGTCTACAACAAATTCACAAAATATAGTATGGCTAGATATGCACCTTTATTGCATTCTTTACTTGAGATGCCTCTGGTATCAACCTGAAAGCAACTCCATCCACTTTGAGCTGGAAAACCTGCATCATTGACCATCAATTAGACAGATTAATGATTTTTTTCTGCAATCAAGAATCCCACTATCAGCCTTGGACAATTAAAAAAACAGTTACTAGCTCAGTCATCGTCCTACTCGTTTTTGACTAAAAATGTTGTAGCGTGGTCAATGAAGTGAAACGAGAACTGAGAGGTCTCAAGTTCAAGTCTGAGCATAGGCAAGAAAAACACTAGGTGTTTCTTCTATGCTTTAGAAGAATTATCCTATAAAAATTTAAACAAAAATCAAAGCAAACATTGTATATAAACTATCTTAATAGCTCAATTGATTAACTAAACGAATTTTCACAGTTCGATTCCCCTTCTTGTAACCCCTTCCCTTATCCCAATAAGCTGTCAGTAAAGCATAACACAATAATCACATCCCAATACACAACAACAGCAAACTGAATCTAACCTTATTGAGAGCAACAGGAACAACCCGAGAGCCGTTTCGCATAGAGGGGTCCATTGATTCCATCTGCTGACGAAGTGCTTCAGCATCAGCTTCACTAAAACAAAACAACCCCAAACTTTTCCCAGTACTAACACCCGAAACCAACACAAATTCTTGAGAGGCATTGCTAAGGGCATACACAGGTACTCCACCCAAACGCTCTTCGATTGTTTCAGTAGATAAAGATTGTTTTTTTACACCAATTTTAGCCCATAGAGGTGAATTTTGAGGGGTGTTGAGTTGGGGAATAGTGGTTTGAAGGAAATTGGTGAATTGGGTCTGCAGATTCTTGAAGGATTGTTGGAGCTGTAGGTGTGGTGGTGTTGCTGGAGAAGATGATGATTGTTTCCATTTGAAGAAATTCATGTTTGGGAGCAATTACTGAGGAAATGGGTAAAAGGGTTTTTGAGGTTTTAAAAGCGGCTAAACAATTTGAGGAGTAACAAAAGAATACAAATTTAGAATGAACGTGTCATATATAATTTATGTGACAATTTAAATCATACGTGATAATATATATTAGCATATTCAAAGTTAAAAAGGCATATATATTAGCTAGACTAAGTCAAAAAACACGTTTTTATATTACTAGTTGATTAAATAACAAGTTTAAAAGTGTATTATATTCAAATTAATTTCTCCATATCTCAGTTTGTTATATACACATATCAACGTAATTATGTTAGGTAATAAAGTATGAACAAATGAAAGAAAAAAAATTTAAATACACAACTTATTTTATCATATTCTCTAAAAAGAATATCATAATTTCAAAAAATTAGAAAATCTAATCTCTCCTGTTTTCGAATATATCATTTTATGCTATGTATTTATTCAAAATTAAGATGATTTACGCATTATATTGACACGTTAAGTGATCTATTTAAAACCGAGATGCGACAGAATGAAAAATGTATATATTGAATAACCATTGCATTCTCTGCACTCATAACTTTCAAATGTATGACGCAAAATTGATTTAGTGAATCACCATTGCATTCTCTGCACTCATAACTTTCAAATGTATGACGCAAAATTAATTTAATGAATCACCATTGCATTCTTTGCATTCATAACTTTCAAATGTATGACGCAAAATTGGTATAGTGAATCACCATTGCATTCTTTGCATTCATAACTTTCAAATGTATGACGCAAAATTGATATAGTGAATCAGCATTGCATTCTCTGTACTCATAACTTTCAAATGTATGACGCAAAATTGATTTAGTGAATCACCATTGCATTCTCTGCACTCATAACTTTCAAACGTATGACGCAAAATTGGTATAGTGAATCACCATTGCATTCTTTGCATTCATAACTTTCAAATGTATGACGCAAAATTGATATATTGAATAACCATTGCATTCTCTGCACTCATAACTTTGGGCCTTAATGAAAATCTCTTATTTCAAATAATAGCAGAGTAATAATGTAATGTAATTGAAATAATGTTGAGATGAATCAAAAGAAAAATCTAGTTAGAAAGCAACTTAAGAATCTAAAGAGAAATAATGTTGACATGAATCAAAAGAAAAAAATAATAAATTCTACTTAGAAAGCAACTTAAGAATCTAAAGAGAAGCAAGTTTTCCAGTATATAGAAATTGGTGCTGCCCTGTGTCTTTGGACTTGTCTGAAGGTTTTTCTTTTTATGTCATAGAAGAAGATGATCATCATCGCCCCCACTTCTTGACGGAATACTATTTCTTCATTCCATGTGCTGTGAAAACAATCTAATGTCATGGGATCGAACCTCACCCCAAAATCGATACTATACTCCTTCGCCCAAATGCAACGTACCTTATCTTTCAGTATCCACAAGTCTAGAATCGAACTCTTGCGAAAGTTAACACGGTCTGCCACACAAAGGCTCCCTTTCAAATCCATCAAATTCAAGCCCTGACAGTTCATAGAAGCTGATGGGAAACCTAGAGATATGAACTTTTCGTTTTCAAAGTCAAATGACATAATTCGAGGTTGGCCAACGTACACTATTTTATCCTTTCCCAACCAATACAAACATTCATTAACTAACACCCCGCGAAAAATAGGATGATATGGAGGTTGCTCCGCGATTTCTTTCCATCTACCATTAGAAATGCCGCCACTACAGCTTAGGGTGAAAACTTCACATCTTATCCGGGCAACGTCAATCTCTAAAGCAAGACCACGCGGGGGACCCAAATAGAAAAAATGCAACACCTTGTATTCCTTTTTCGAGGGAAGATATCCAAAACCAAAATGTTCATATCCGGGGGTAGCAGAAGGTGAAGAGTTGGGCAATTCCCGTAGTTGATGGATGGCCGGATTACAGAGATAAATACGACAAGCTGTTGAAAGGCAAACCAAACCAGCGCTAACAGTCCAGCCGTTACAATGGATTTGTGTATCAGGATAGTCGAGGATTGTGTACAAATCCTCATTTCTTCCTTCCATGTCAAGTGAAACAAACTGTAGTTTCGACTTACATGACCGTGGCAAATAACGTGTTGTTTCAACAAAGAGAAATTCAGGGGCATTTCCCTCTTGTTTTCGATGAGAAAATACAAACAGGGGACTAATGATACAATCATTCCATGACTTGGATACGCACCTTGAGATGGACAGTGTTTTCAACCCGCATTTTAGAAAAATACAAGTTAACACATCAATAGGTAGCTTATCAAATTCATCACTTCTATTATCATTCTCGTCCTTTATGACGATTCTGCTACATTTCTTCCTCCTTCGTATTGATATTTCCTTCTTCTTGTTAGGCTGCTGCAAATGGATGTCGCGAATCAATATATCTTAAAATCACTTTTAATTCTATGTTGGGATGCAACATGGCATGAGAAGTATAGTTAAAAGCAAAAAAAACACAAAAGAGTGCCAACTAAAGCATGGACTCATAACTTTGTTGTCTAAAGACTTGAGCACGCCTTTAATAACTCTGCTTCACGTAACTTTGTCTATCAGAAAATAATCCGTCAATCAAATCTCAATACACCAATACTGACTACTCACTATAAATATTTTATAGAAATTTGAAAAGCATAAAGAAAAAAGATCAATTTGTTTTGGTTTATTTTTTCCTTTTTAGTCAATTTACAATCCAAGAATGTCTCTTTATTTTTTTCATACTCGTTGTTTTGTTCTTTAATTTGTTTTACGACAAGGAAAATGCGCAGTTGTACCTAGTTCAACTTCTCAAGCCTCTTTACCATACCCTTAGAAAGTGATAACGGATCACTTCCATTACTAAATGGAAGAACTTAGTGAAAACTAGTTGATAGTTGTTCCTCCTATTGCAAATCACACGAGAGAGGTAACCCTGCACTAAGTGCCACGGGGTCGACTTAGCTAATTTTTTAATTCTAACAAAAAGCGCATCTTATACGTATCCATAATTTATACTATGTTTGGATCATTGTTATCCATTGTATTGTATTGTTACTATACCTACAATGTTTGTTTTAGTTGTTACTTAAAATATATTGTATTGTTAAATTTCGTTGTTACGTAACAATGGAAACCGCTATTGAACAACCAATTTGGTGTATTTCCATTGTTACTTAATTTCCTTTTTCAATTATATCTTTACATAATATTTTACCCTTTACCTTAATTATTTAAATCTAGTCAAATCTCCTACCCTAGAATAATTAAGGATATTTAAGTAAATTTATGAATTATAATATAGTAGTACGATACAATTAAATCAAACAATTAAAATGTTACTAAACAACAACAAACAATACAATCTCGCCAAACATTATATCTACCATACAAAACAGTACAATAGAATACAATACAATATATTATGAAACAATGGGTAACAATGATCCAAACAAAGTGTTAAGATCACAAGATTTAAATATACTTTATTTTGTGAATTCTAGGGACAAGTTCAAAACCAAACAAGTTGTACTAGAAAATAACAACATAACTAGTGTTCATAAATTAAAAGACTAAATCCCATCTAGTCTAACTAATAAATTAAAATTGATGAAAGCATTAAATTTTCCAGCATAAGATTTGCAAAGCCATAAACTTTTCTGTAAAAAAAAAAATAAAAAAACCATCAAATAAAATGGAAAAGTGGTACCTTATTTTGTTTGCGTCGAGTAACTTTCACCATTTTTGCTATGAATTGAGGGACTGAATGAGAGAAAAGAGGACGAAAAAGTATTATGATATGAGGGTTTTCTTTGCTTTTTTCTTAAAGAATTCTAACCCTATTTAACAAGGTATTAAACCTACATATTTTTTTTTTTAAAAAAATGAATATTTTATCTTTTAATAATCCTATGGTTTAAAACTTAAAAAAATGCTTCTTAGATGTTAAAATAGGAGAGTAGAGAATATAAGACATAAAACGATACACATTTTATGAGTAAAATTTTGTGTCTTTTAATTTTCGTTGAAATGATAATATTATTCCTTTCGATTAATTTTATTTGTCCATTATTTTAAAGAGATTATTTATTTTATATAGTACTTTTATAATATCAAGAAAAGATAAATATTTTATAAAAAATGTCATGTCATTGAAAACTTTTTTAAAAAAATGCTTTTCAAACGCCTAAATAGATGAGCTGAGAATATAAAGCATAAAACACATCTAACGGATGTGATTTATGTGTAAAATTTAGTGTATTCTTAATTATTGTTGAAATTACTATATTACCCCTTCACTCTAATTTTATTTGTCTATTATTTTTAAAATATATTTATTTATTTTAGTTATATCTTTTATATATCAAGAAAAAAATAAATATTTTATCTTTTAAAAAACGTCATCTCGTTCAAAACTTGAAAACCCCCTTCTCACATAACTAAATACAAGAGCAGAGAATATAAGGCATAAAACGCTATCATGGAACACGATTTATGAGTAAAATTTTGTGTCTTGTTATAATTTGTTGAAATTATTATATTACCCCTCTTGCTTATTTTTTTTGTCCATTATTTTTAAAAATATATTTATTTATTTCATTTATATCTTTATATATAAAAAATAAATATTTTATCTTTTAAAAAAGTCATGTCATTTAAAATTTGAAAAAAAACCCTTCTCACATAACTAAATAGAAGAGCAAAGAGTATAAGACATAAAACGCTATCGCGTAAATCGTTTTATGAGTAAAATTTTGTATTTTCTTATTTACAATTGAAATTACTATATTACTAACTTTGGAAAAGACCTTTTACCTATGCTCTATTTAATAGTGTATTTTAAAGGTATATATGTAATTACGTGGACATAAAAATATTGCATAATTACAAATAGTAATGTGTCTACATGAGCACATAAATACCTTTAAAATACACTATTAAAAATTTCTGGGGTAAAAGGTCCTCCATATAATTTGGTATCGTAACAACAATTTCGATCAAAGTTAAAGTATTTTTCAGATCTTTTATGACTTTGATTTTTCTCTTATTTGGTGAGGGAAGTAATTG